TTTTTTTTTTTTTTTTTTTTTTTTTTTTTGCTTTTGATTTTTGCTGTTTTATTCTTTGCTAATTTTCACTAAGAATAATTTTAAGCAGTTGTGAGCAGAAAATTAAAGCAGAAGATTAATAGCATCAAACAGGTGATGATGGAACAGAAATTTTTTTTTTTTTGATAAAATAAAACTTTTTTTTTTTTTGTAGCAAGGAAGAAAGAAGAATCAGAATATTAATTAATGATATGATTCAGATGGCTACAGTGGCAATTAACGTGGTGCTACGTGATTCACTTATAATGGCTGGCAATGAATTGTACGCAAAAATTTTACTGGATACCGCTGAGGTGACCACATTTGTCAATGAATTCTACGCCGATGTCGAGGGTATTGCGCGAACGGGTTGGATTAACATACATACGGATAAAATTTTTGAAACTGGAAAGGTATTATCTTCTTCGGTTACTATTCAAACTGCTCATATATATACCTTTTTATGGTGAAACCTTATCCTAACAACAACATAGGCACTAATTTCTTTTCTCTTTTCATATTAATTTATTTTACCTAATTGCTTCTTATTTATCTTCTTCTGTTCCAACAGTTCGTTTTTTTGTCAGTAATTTTTGGCTTATTTAAAAGCCAAAAATCATTTTTTTTTAATCAAAATAATCTTATTTATGACATTTATCTTCTTGCTTTATTCCACCAACATACCACCTTTTTTTCCATCAAAAATCTTGTTTATCCAACAAAATAAATCAACAACTTTTTGGTCTTACAATAAATTAGCTAAAAATAATTAGGGTTTACTTCGAGACCAATGAAAAAAAAGTTGATCATTAATGAAGGTAGTTTTAAACAAGAAAAAACACTTAATTTTTTTTTAATTTTTACCATAATTATCAATCTCATTTATTTGAAGACTTTCTTCTTTTTCTTCTTCTTTTTCGCTGCATTAGCTTTCTTGTTTATCTATATTATTGGGTGTAGAGAAGAACTATTATTTTTTTTTTTTAGTTTTATTATGGATATTTAATTGTTGAAAAATTTTAGAGGATTTGGAACACATTTAGTGAAAATTTGTTGGCATTCTAATTAGACAGTGGAATTATTCATAAGACTAATGGGGAAGAGAATGTAGTGGAAACCGTATTGCAGCAATATATTAATGCTCATATACCTTTGCTGGCTAGTGGTACTTGCCTTCGTGAGGGTCGTCATCAGTTTCCAATACGGGTTTTGATTCCAGACTATGTACCAAGCAGCTTTGAAAGTCAGTTTGGAACTGTGCGATATGCAATAAAAGTAATTTTGAGGACAAGATCTGAACAGGTGCAACTTTTGAACTTATAGCTACTACCTTCATGGCTAGCATTATTGTCAGTAAAATTTAGAAAAAAAACTCAACATCAAAAAGCTGAGCACTTTTTAAAGCAGGTGTAAGCAGTAATTTACGGCAACCTAACGTAGCATAATACACATATTTTTGTCTGGCAAATGACTGCAAAATTACGTTGTTTTCTTATAGATGCAGTAGCCAAGAAACTTTATCTTTATCTTATTCAATTACCATTTCTTCTGCTTCTTTTTTGTGTTTATCTTATTCAATTACCTGTTATTCCGTCAAACAGGAAACGGATTTGAAGATATTACCAATAAAACTGTTTGCCTAAGTCAAAGAAATATAAAATCTAGTGCTGTATTAATCTTTATTAAAGACACTTACTAACAAAATTGTTTTGATTAAACAATTCCTCCTCTACTATTTTTGTCATAATTAACACTTTGCGCAGTTTTAGTCATCGGTGACTGAAGTATTTCCATTTCTGGTTACGGCACGATCTTTTTTGGAAGATTTGCCGGGCAGAATGTTACGAAGCTATGAGTGTAATGATGAAGTTGATTTCACTTGCTGTACATTTCCATTTGGACGGGTTTTCGTAAAAATTTTAATGCCACGTACCGCATTCGTTGTCGGTGAAGTGAATTTTTGTTTTTTTATCTTTTTTTTTTCTGCTGTTACATTTTTTCATATACCTTTAATAGAGGAAGAAGGAAACATTTTTACTTCTTAAAAGTTTGGTCTTAAAACTTTAGAAAAAAACAAAATTTGCACGCAAGTCGCTCTTAAAAGACTTAACGCTGACACCTGGAAAATGCCTTAATGTTGCAATATAAATGTTATAGCTAGAATAGTAGTTTCAGACTCTAACCGCTGTTTGTTCAAAATGAAGGTAGTTTTTATAACTTATAAACCATCAATAAGCTAGAAATTATAAAATATTTTTGAAAGAGCTTTAGACAAGTAAGTTGAGTGACAAAAAAAGTGACAAGAATGGTTGCTGCAACAGGATACAACTGTACAGTCATGCTACCACTGTACTCAGAAAGTTTAAACTTTACAGTTTTCAGGAAATTCACTGTTCAGTTTTTATTAAAAATTCGATGAGAAAAACCCTGAAAGACTGTTGTATAAGTTTAATTATGAAAACTCAGTATGAGGCAACCAGTCGATACGAAAGGTTAAACGAGAAAAAGTTGTTGGAACAGATTATTGAACTGGTCACTCTTGGTAAAGCCAGGCGTAAAGCCCAAACAGTTAGTTTTCTTTCAGTTGCTCTAACCAATTTTATTATCAACAGATGTTTAATCATTTAAACTAAGTTGTGCTCAACTTCTTTAGTTAAAAAAATTCCTTTTTTTTTGCTTCTCTTTTTCTCAGTTCTTTTTTTAAATTAGATAAAAATTTTGGAAAAAATTTTAAAAAACTCTTGTCTTAATTGAATTGCTTTAGTCGTTTAAAAAGGGCAAGAAAGGCAAAATATAGATCAAAAAATGTTAAATTGACTTAATATGCAAATCTTTCGTCTACAAATTTTTTTCACACCTTTTTTTTCTTTTGTTGTTTGCATTCAAGCATTAACAACGTTAGAAAAGTTTGAAGTGTATAATCAGTTAGCATAGAGAAAAAAGTTTTCTCTTCTTCACACTTTTAATGATCAATTTTAAACAACTGATATGAATAATTTTATTACTGGTTTATACTTAAAGGCTTTCGAAGATCAGATTCTAAAGTTGCCAGACACAGTTCCTCCGACACAACAGCAAAATAAAACTGAGCCTCATATCATTATTCTCTCATATGTTGTTAAGTTCACTGCACAACCGGGTAGGCAAATTTGTCCATACTTTTGACCTTGTAGTATCTTAATGTTTAGCATTCTGTTGTGCTCATTTTTAAGCTTGTTTTTTTTTCTTAATTTTACTTCTACAAATTAGTCTGACTAGATAATTTACTTCTGTTGTCCAGGTATCGAATTAGAGCTTCCAATTGTACTAACGGCCGAACGACAAAGAGGTTTACCATTACCAATAGGTACCATTGAGCAAAATTATAATGATGATAATTTGGTGTAACTTTGTTGTCGTAATTAAGAATGTTTTAAGAGAGAAAAAAAGATGAAAAAATAAAATAAACAATTAAAAATGACAACATCTATCAAATGCACACTTAAAATCCACATGCTGTCATCTTTATTGTAAGGAGAACAAAAATTTGTTGATGAACTTTAAAGATACATCGTTCGTCAGATGTATGTGCCGAAACATTAGCAGAAATATCAGGAACAATTAATGCAAACGTCGATTTCATCGTCTTTGCAATATTTACGAACACCTAATTGATAAAACCAAACAGTGGTGTAAAATTGGGAAATCAAGGTCTACCAA